ACAGATCGAGCGAGGAAAGAGACGCTTTCTTTGAAATAGTTCCTGGAGGGAACCTCGATAAAGGGTAATTCGCATAACGCTATGAAGTGAAGGATGACAACCTCAAGTTCATGCCAAAATAACAAATTAGTTTCCTTTTAAAATTTTCGTTAATTCAACATAGTTGAAAGGTGTTAAAAAGGGACATCGGCTTGCGCCACCGCCAGAATATACCGGGAAACAAAAACAACCATTGGGCTCCGGGACAGAGCTGCTCATTGGTATTAGCGTACATGGCAAGCTAAAAGGAGAAAACATAAAAAACGCCAAATTGCCCTCCAAACCCGCATCAGTAAGCAACCTTGGTACGCATATCCTAGAGAATAATGTCAGCGACGGATTCGTGAAACCAGAAAGGGATACTAAAACAGAAGGGTAAAACTTACTGCAATTTTCCGCTCAATTTCTCGTACCGACCTGTCCAACTCTCCAGCAATTTGTTGTTTCTTGTCATTTGGAAGCAAAAGATAGGTTTCGCAAAGATCGCCATCGATGGTGCCCTTTGCGGGAGCATAGTAACTCCTATATATTAGATGATCTCGTCCAGCGAGCGGAGGATTCTGAGCGGCAAGCTGCATCTCGAGACTTTGGAAAAAATCCACTTCTTCCCGGCTAATGAATGGTATCAACATCCCCACAGTCCCTTGAAGTCCTGTCCAGACGAGGATATCTCGTCCACCCGTGACTAGTTGTGCCTTCTGTATGCTGGTGGGCAAATCCTGGGGATAGAAGTGAGCAACAAGATTTAGTCTGTTCGGGGCACCTTGAAGGTATTGTCGCTCATGAATTAGATGGGCCCCTGACCCATCCTCATCCGCTTCTTCCGATGCCTTGGCGGGACACCGGAGCAGCCACAGATTCCCGAACTTGTCTCCTCCAGCAACAGTTTCGTAATCCACCATTGTCGTGCAAGTGGTCCAACGGGAAATAACATCATCAACGAAAGGAATCAGGCGATTTTCCTGAGACTTGTAGACGACATACGTGACGCTTTCCTGAACATCGCTCACGATAATCCGACTGCCTTGTGTTTGCAGGCCGACGACAAGGTGCGGGACAACTGAAGCCTGGCATTTACGGAGCATTTGCCTCATTCCCAAGTCGTAAATTCTGACATCTGTGCCAATACCTGCCAGAAGACGCCCCTGAAAGCCAAGAAGAGCCACGGGTGGTTGCTCAACCTTTGTTTTATGAATGAATTCCAGTTCTTTGCCATCTTCCTGGAACCGGTAGATATGGATAAACCCAGCTGAACATGACCGGGGATTAACCACCATATCTTTTCCAGTCCCTACTACCAAGAATGTTTCATCATCTTGGCTCGAGAACGAGACAGCGGCCACACTAACGGCAGCCTCATTTTCTTCCAGCTCGATCTGCGAAACTACGCTTTTTGAATTTACTGGATCGACAATCTGTATGCATGACGCCCAATGTCCCGTTCCTCGTGGATAGCCAAAGTCCTCGGATGGTAGCACCGTTGCATCGCCGTTGACAGCATCTGAGTCGTTGAGAAGCTTGGCCCTTGTTGCCGGTGAAAGGATATTATTGTCTGCTTCAATGACATAAAAGAGTGGCTGCTCAGGGTGTTTAATGAATTGGCGCGGTGTGTAAGTGAGCGAGATCGTTTCTTGAAGCAGATTGTTCTCCAACTTTTCAATGGAGAATATTCTTTTCGTAATAATGTCAGTAATTTTGAACGAGAACATGGGACAAAGAACAAAATAACAACTCGGAAACAGCGCATGCTTAGGTTAATTTTCAGTAGGAACAATTGAATATTTAGTAATTTTATGCCGCATAGTCAACGTTGTGACTCGGGAAAAGATTTCATCACGTAAACTTCTCACAGGCTCAAATGCATCAATTAAAATAATTTAAAATCACGTACCTCAGGTTTTGTCCTTGGATACCAACCATGCCTTCAACGCACTGCTCGCTGCTGAAGTTCCAACCCCATTCTAGACCGACATAATCTAAAGGTGTAAGCATAAATGCCTTCGTTTGGAGATCCGAATACCCAAGCCAAGGACGTGAGCTCAACGCGAGAACGGCCTTTTGCTCCTTAACAGAAACTTGGAAGAGTTTAACAGGCTTTAAACCGAGGAATCTGGTGCGAGTATCGGATAGTTCTCCCGTCACCTCATCAAGCACCGTGCGAAGATATATGCCTGAATAGAGGCCGATATGTAGATAAAGCGTGGACCCACCAGACGTGGAATCAGCCATTGCCATGATTGACAGCGCAGATGGAGCGGATGTAAGTGCCTGGACGGACTTATTTCCGAGTGTTGAGTCCGGATCAAGGCTCAGAATTCTGACGGTAGAGTCGTCGCAGCCCACAGCGAGGAAAGAACTCCTTGCACGTCCTTTCGGAACCTCTCCCAGGCTGAGACAAGTAACTGTGCCGGACATTTCTCTTTTCTCATCGTACTCCGCAAGAGAACCATCCGTGTCCATTTCAAAGTACACAATCTCCCCAGAGCTTAGTGCAACGGCGACTTGCCGCTCATTTGTAGTCGCAGCAACAATGGAACGATGCTGAGGGGCGGGCCATTCGTTCACTCGTCTATCTGCATGGATATGTCGTATTCCCTTGGGATGCACTTGGATGAGAGAATCCTCTCCAAGTTGCTGAACCGCCAGGGTTGGTGCCGAGGATAGGAAGCCGGTATCTGTGACTTCTTCCACAGTTTCTCCAATACTGAGAACAAGAGTGCCATTGGAAAAAGACAAAATAATATAAGCATCGAATTCGTCCTCGCGAGTGAGCTTAGAGGTCCAAACTGCAGATGGAACACTCGGTAGTTCCGACTCCACTATTTCAGTAACTTCCAAGCCGTGCTTAAGAGTCCTGAAACTGCTCCTTGCCCCTGTACCACAAATAGTATATATTTGGGGTGCATCATCTTCTGTCAAGTTTGTGATCTTGCAATCCATCAATGGATTGAGAGAATTCACACTTTCGACAAGATGCACATTTTCAGAGAGTCGTGGGTGGAAATAAACAGGAGGCAGCGGTTCAGAAGGATTGGCGGAGAACGAGTCGCTAGTAAACTCGATTTCATCGTCATCATCTCCAAGTTTTTCAAATTGGTAAAAGTGATGATTTCCCGTTTCACTGGCGACGAAAAGGAACCCGCTCTTCAAAATGCATAAACTTGAAGCGATTGGAACGGTGTCGAAATATTTGAGTTTTAATCTTCTGACCTCCCCTGTTATTTGTCCGTTATCATCTTCAACCATATCAATAGTAACCTTGAAGAGATCACCATCCTCGGTTTGCAGCAAGAAAAAAAAGGCGCCGCGCATTTTATGCATGACTCCGGCGACAATACATCGTTTTCTCTCTGGGTTTTCCGTAGGTCCACTGCGACGGGGTATCGGTACGCGGAAGGCATCCTGATTTGAGTGACGGTAGGTGATGTTGTCCTCAGCACACACAAGGCAACCACTAGGACCATCTGCACCACCAGGAACCTGGAATAGCATAGTTGCGGAGCGGTCAACAGGATCCGACCATTTCCTAACAACATGGTTCAACCCTAGATCAAGCTCGTAATAAACTAATTGTTTTTCAAGCTCCTCATAGGCTTGCCCAGTTGGGTCTTGGTCGGCTTCAGTGTATTCAACTTCCAAAGCCGCAAATATCGGATTGTCATAACCGACATCCAGAGCTGTCAAAGCGAAAACCAGAGTCTGGGGTTTATGGGCCTCCAATGGCGAGGATATCGTCAACTCAGCTTGTGTATTTCTGTTGAGGACATAGACCAACTTGTTTTTCTCCACCGAAGCAATTAAACATGCTCTTCCTTTTGGATCAACAGCTAAGTACTGACCAGGGATAACGCGTCGAATCCCCGATTTTCCGAAAGTCTCGAGATGGATTCTGTTGAATCGATTCTGGGAAGGTACATATTCGATGATGGTAATCCGCCCAGAGTCAGATCCGATGATGATGTAATCTAAATGAGACACATTCAGCATAGCTCAACCAAAGCTGACAGAGAACAAGGACAGAATCCAGGGGTGCGGTGTGGGCTTGTGCGCAACAACAGGAGCTCGAGCTGTCCCAAGAGCTTGAAGAATCACTAACGTGGTCTTGACAAAAGCGATGGGTTAGAACATACCTTTGCTGCCACCAGCTAGCCTAAATGCCGCGAGCGTCCGGATAATGCCAAAAACATCTTGAGAAAACAGTGTTCTAATTTTTCCCTGTGTCGGGTCTGGCCGGTGGATTGTGAGCTTCGAACCAGACGCAGTGATGATCTGCTGTTCCTTAGTCCCCGCGAACTGGCCCAAAATTGCTTGAGTAATCGCTGTAGGGGGCTGGATGGTCAACGAGTACATAAACAACGACGAGGTGGTCGCCATGCTGGGCAATATGAAACCGGGAGATGACTATGCCAGACGACTGCAAGGGATCTGACACCGGGCTACCAGTGGGTCAATGGCATTGTCATCGGTGTGTTAGAGACTCCACATCCCTCCAAGGTTAGTCCCTAGCCAAGTGGAATTGGTTAGCGGGACAGGACAGCTTCGTGAATGTTCCAAGGTTGCCGATATCCGTGGGCGTGTGCAGCTGTGTGTGGAAGATTCAAATGTTGATTGAAGTCGAAGGTTTGTGCAGTTTCGGTGTTGTTCCATGCGACTCTAGTGGCACAGGCGAACTCCATTTCGGTAATATGTGGCGCCGACCCGGCCCAGTACTACGTCTTGGCTGGCGGGAGATAATTACTAGGCACCGGATATCGTCGCCTTCAACTTCAGCTTCAACTTTCAAAGTGACACCTCGTTGCTGCTTCACTTGAATATAGGCAGCTCTTCCTAGCACAACATCTCTGGGTCTATATTTACAAGATAGCGCCTTGATTTGGCGCTGAATTTGGTTCTTCGCCTTTGTGAACGCCCTACACAACCTTGGAATCTCGACCCACCGTCCCACCTTGCTCTCAATAGTCATGGCGGAGGACGGTTCTAAGGCAGAGGAATCGCCCATCACTTTCCATGTCAAATCCTCAAATGATGTCAAATACACTCTGACACTGGATCCGTCGACCACTATTGGTGATCTCAAAGCAAAACTAGCTGGTGCAGACTATGCTGACGTACCGGCAGAACGACAACGTCTAATCTATTCTGGTCGAGTACTCAAGGATGGCGATACGCTAGCTACTCACAAAGTGAAAGATGGCCATGCCATTCATCTTGTAAAGAGCGCCGTGCAACGCCCAACTCCCACATTTCAAGGCTCAAACACCGCATCCGGGGACAGGCCAGCGCAGGCCCGCACACTGGCGGCTAACGTGCCTACCAACATCGCTGCCGGCACAGGAAATAATCCTCTAGCAGGGCTCACAGGCGCGAGATATGCTGGATTTGCGCAGTTGCCAGGTGCTGGGATGTTTGGACCCGACGGTGGCGTAAGTTGGAAAATCCTCCTTCACACACTCCCAAAACATAATCTAACGATGCTAACGTTTCGTATAGATGGGACCACCTCCAGATTCAGAAGAGATGATAAACATGCTTGAAAACCCTCAATTCCAGTCAACGATGAATGAAGCATTGCAAAACCCTCAACTTGTTGATTTGATGATTCAACAAAACCCAATGCTGCGGGAAATGGGACCGAGTGTTCGCCAAATGATGCAGTCCCCAGCATTCCGCCGAATGTTGACAGACCCGAATGCCATCCGCCAAATGACGCAAATGCAGAGAGCTATGGGGTTGGATCGTGGCGGAGGGTTTGGCGGTGGCAGCGCATTTCCCGCCCCTGGAATAACGAATACGACACCCGAGGAAAATCGTAGTAGCCAAAATGAGAACCCATCTGCAACTGCCACCAACGATACCCAAAATCTATTCAATATGTTTGGTATGCCAGGCGCTCAAGGAGGTGGTGCCGCTGCAAATCCATTTGCCGCTCTCTTCGGTGCCCCTCCCCCATTTGGCGCAATGCCTCCTTTACAAACGCCAGCTGGCGATAACAATAATACAGGAACAACTCAGGAGGGAACTACTGGATCTAACCCACCACCAAACCCGTTCGCATCATTATTTAACCCTGCACTCTTCGGCCAACCTGGAGCCAATCCAACCAACCCAAATCAACAGCAACAGCAGCAACAACAACCCCAAAACCCCTCCAACCCCTTCTCAAACCTACAAAACAACCCATTCCTCCAAGACCCCGCTCTGCTCTCACAGATGTTACAGTTGATAGGCGGCGGTGGCCAAATCCCTGCGGCCGGCACAGATCCAGGCGCCAACGCGCTTGCAGCCCTACTTAGGGGCCCAGGCACCAGTAGCCCAGCTCCTCAAGATACCCGACCACCGGAAGAAATATATGCGGAGCAACTACGGCAACTAAACGAGATGGGCTTTCATGAATTCGAGCGGAACGTTGAGGCGTTGAGAAGGACAGGTGGGAGTGTGCAGGGAGCTATTGAATATTTACTTTCGCATCCATCATGAGGATTTTCTTTATTTTCTTTCTCCATTTCCCCACGATGAATGAAGGAAGCGCGGTTTAGTATTGACAAATTTTTGTTTTCTTTGTTATCCCTGGCTTTTTCCTGTGTGGTAATGTTATCTCGATCCCCAATCCCCGACTAAGGGGGAATTAAGTTGCTTTGCAACTGTTGTGAAATCTATAAATTTCTGTTGCGCCATGTAGTCAAAATATTGATGGGGTCTTTAAGCTTCTGCCTTCAATATGCCTTAACATTTGGTTTCCTATCCTCTCCACACATTGGATGTAGCTCGTTAATGACATACGAACAATGAATTTTCCTTCCTATCATTACCAACTAGCACTGTGATTAGCATACAGTTGTCCCTTTCTGTTCTTCCATCCGTAAAATTATGATGGACCAATTCCTCTAAAAAATCGGTGTAATTTCATAGCGCTCTATTAACGCCATGGTATCAATACCATTTCGTGAAAGCCATATCTGGCTAAGCAACATTCACCACACTTACTTGCTAGTCATTGAAGAGACTCGAAACAGGCGCACCCTGAGTGGCCAAAGGGAAGCACAGTAATTACCTCCATTGCTGGCGAGAGTAGTAACGAGATATTCGCCTGGGATGCCGGGCCAAAATACCCTAATATGATTTATCGCGTTTTGTGCCGTAATACAAAATGGGAGAATGGTAGTTGTATAGTTATACTTATATTTGAAATATTGACAGTCCATATCCCCAACGTCAAAATCACTAAAGAACCGCTAAAATAAAGCCCTCGGATTCGATATCTTTTGCCAAATTTATCATTGTAATAATAGACAGACACACTCGTGATCCGATCATTAATTACCCTAGAGGACCAGCGCTTTACCCAGAAAAGGCTGCGCTCCCTTGTCGGTGGACAGCTCTGCATTTCCCATATCATGCTGTAGTTAGCACAATAAGGGAACCGACGGGTAGAAATGAAGGTTCCATAGCAGGGTTCGGATCATTCCCATGATTGTTTAAATAAAATACTTAGCTAAAAGCCAAGCCGTTGGCTTCTGAAAACCCGGTTAACAATGTTTGTTAACTAATTAAAATAACAAAGTTACAGAAAAATGGCCGAGATAACCTTAGTGGAACGGGAGTGGATTGATCGTGAAATTATTTATCATGGCGTTCAAAAATGGCATTGAAATTTGGGCAAGAAATTGCCGAAGAATACTGATTCAATTCCGCTCCGAAACTCTCCTACTGTGTCTGTAGCCACGGATATCTATGCTTCAACTGTGAGAATACCACGGAGTACCAGTGTTTTCTGATTCATATATATATATATATATATGTTGTTTACTCAATCATCTAACATAATATCAGGCCGGTGCCCATTTCCGTACATCAAAAAAGGGGACGGACACTTAATTAGCAACTCTCAATCGAGTACATATTAATATACATTATACCACACTCACCTTGTTCTCGCTGCTAACATCACACAGCATAAATATATAAAGTGCAGAGAAATACCTGTGGATAATTGACTCCTCAATACCCCCGTGAGCAAATCTGATTATTTCAGTATTTCTGACTTTAAAAGATATATTGGATGGACCAGTTTCAGTCATGCAATGAATGCAGTGTCTCTCAATCGAACTTTGGGGGAAATTAGAAGACAGACTCAGCACGAAAACCACTAAATCCTATCAGCAGTGCCCCACTTTCCCTTCTCCCTCTTCTATCCAGGGGAAATAACCTAGATGTGCTTAAAATACCTTCCCTATAAGGCCTCTATTACCGTTTCATTTGGGCCACAGCTCTTTCAACATCGGCCGGAAGCACAGTCCAAAAGTCAGGCGCACGCGGTTTCCAGCCTAGCTGTCTGACGCCCAGAGATACAAAACCTAGCCATCCGGGTTCAAAAATTTCCCGGAAGCATTTTTCATCGTAGAATGCAGTTATGGCATCGACCTGTAGCCAGCCCTGCTCGATGCCCATCCGACAAATGGCTTCAGCAGCATCTTTCCATCTGATTTCGTCTGCAACGGCGAAATAGAAACGCTATGTTTTGTCAGAGGAGCCATGTTAACAGTAAGGGAGTGTTTTATCTTCAGCTCCTTCCCAAACTTAAGATCCTCGCCACGCTTCAAAATAATATTTTCAAGCACAAGCAGAAACAAATCAACTACATCATTCGGGTGCGTGACAGCGCGGGGATTCTCGCCCGCCCCAACATAGAAAGACTCCTTGGTCCGCCATAAAGTCCTCCAGACATCCGCCCTGCCCCCAACACCAGTACCTCGCCCGTAGATGTCCGGAGGACAGATGCTGATAGTCTTAATCACTTCATTGGATGCGTCCATGATACGCCGGTCGATGGCATGGTGAAGAGCAGTGTCCGGAAGGTCATACATTCTCTGGATATCATCAATATCTGACCAGATTTTCGTGTTGGGTTTACCATCCCACTAATTTTCTAGGTGATCAAAAATGCACCCGGTTCCCGTTAGGGGAATCAGGAAGCCTGGGCTGGTTTTTCTGGAGAGTCCTAACAGAATGGCGTTGGCTCAACCTTCGTGGTCAATGTCGCCAGTGTCCAAAATAAAAACGTTTCAGTCAATAGCTCTTTTAAAAGAATCCAAATACGCATGTATATATAGAAAGATAGATGGGGCATTGTCATACGGATTACTATGTCAGCCTCTTCAGATGCCGGTGCAATCTCGTCTGCATCGTTGAAAGTTCCTCTGATAACATGAATTGCGGGGTAGCTATCTTTCTTTGAACTCTGGCGAAATAGTTCGCAGAAGGGCCGATATCTGGAACGTTGGGAATTTATGAACGATGGCTTCTAGCACACTTCCGCCAATATATCCCGTTGCACCTGTTCTATAACAAAGTCAGTCCTCGCACACCTAGTAATGGTTGGGATGGTCTTTTACATGAATAGCTTTTTGGAGGTCATCATCCGAACAAATGTTATTATTATCCTGCTGGAATGATTGCAATTGAATACTGATTCTGTGCTCACAGGCATCAGTAGTTATTGGCGACATTATTTAAACAACGGGAAGGGTTTTGTCTGGATAAATCATTGTGTATTGGTGATTATAAATATCCAACACTAGGGATTTGAATGCATTGGATTCTGCCGTGGATATTTCCTCTTGAAGATCTACCAGGTCGTGGAGTGTGTGGGTTGCATATTCGACACAATTCCATGCCGTCGAAGATCTTTGGCTCAGTGTTTGACAATGATTTTCCTGTTCGGCTAAATAGTTAGTTATAGTTAACCGTCGGTGGGAAGAGATTTCTAAGCTACCCATGTGTCAAGGAGAGTTAGTTAAACAAGCGCCCCATTGTAGATGTCAGCCATAACTTTGGGAGGATAAATAAATAATAAATAGTCCCGTCCAATGTCGGGACATTGGATATATTAACTCGAAATCCACAATAGTTAACTATCAAAACAATGGGGATTACGGCATGTGATCTCAAACGGTGGATGATATGGAATGGATAGAACCATAAATAGGGACGGATACACGCAAGAGGAAAACAAAGTACACATCTTCGGCCAAAGGGAAATGGGATCAGAATACCATTCCCAGCCGGTTCTATATCATTCTTTGGAATTGCGTAGGCCAGCGCAAAGTCTGAATAGGGAATTAGAAAGGGTCTCACCGAAATTTGAACGATTCCTCTTCGCATATTTACCGTGTAAATAGAGACATGCAAGGCAAGATTTTCAGTCCTCTTAAATAAACCGACCAAACCCAAAGCCATGAAGAGCAACGATCTTGATCCAAGAACAGAAGCTGAGGTGTGCGTCAACGTGCCCATAGGCATAAACAGCTGCTGATGAAAAGAATGCCTAAATACATCTGAGAGTAACCCCACAGCAAGGACTTTTTCAGTTTCATGGGACGGTGTCTTCACGGCCCACAGGGTAACTAACTCCAAACTCAATATCGCGGGTGCCACCAACTCGGCTTAACATTACCAATGTTTTGGTGTGGGGTAAAGAGAAGGGATAGACGATGAATGGAATGCAACTTCAGATGAAGGCCTTCAGGTGAATTTTTTTTTTTTTTTTGAATTTTTGAATTTTTGAGTTTTACCTTTCGAACTGTGGCTACTTCTGCTTTATATGGATCTTTGGAACCTTTGAGAGTTGGTCAGCAAAACTGGGGGTATTCACCTCGATATATACATATGTTTGTTCATCATAACGTTTGAGTGAGAGATTTGGTTAAATAGTCTGGTTTCTCCCTTAGCATATTTAAAGAGACTCTCACATCTCATCAGCGCTAAATTAACTGGGAATATGATTGGGCATTTGCACAAACCCCCGTATTAATATGAGTCGATTCAAATCCGCTCTTCTGATTTTGTTACTGTGGGTGATGCAGCTCTACGCTACCCAGGGAAATGGTCCCCAGACTGCAAGGGCTTCAATGAAAAAGTAATAGAAGTGGAGTTTAAAAAGAAGCCATTGGCTGCAGGTTAATTTCGAGCAGTGACTTTTGCATCATATATGCAGCAAGTGGATGGGGATATACCTATTGGAGAGCAAAAGTGCTCCACGGTTTGCCACAAACAACGCCATGGAACTCTTGTGGATATCTCAGGAAACTGGACATATCGAAGCACGGCGTCGACATTGGAATAGGGAACTTCTCCGTATTCTCCTCGGGATATTGCAACAGGGAAATTTAGGGCAACTTATTGGAGGTTGATTTGTGAATGAGAGTTAGTTAACCACTTGGGCGGCAGAGATCATCAGACGGCTTACCCAAATTGTTTCCAAAATATATCTTCATGTCAAACCCATTTGATTGCAAAGAGGTCACATAGCGTAATCTTCTATCCAACCACTCGAGAGTTGGAATTCTGAACCATCTGTCCTCGGTTGTTTTGCATGGGGCTGTCGTCGATCGTCGAAAGTCGTTAAATGTCAATTCGATTTTAAAAAAATATTTATATACTATAAACGGCAGGCCTAGCCTGATCGGGCAAAGTGTCACCAACGGCCTGGCTTGGCCGGGGGAACGACAGTGGCTGAACTCCTGAACTTCACATCCGATTTCTAGCCAGTTAATCACCCGCTTCTCATATTTCCCACTCTCCACAGTGTCAAGGTAACCATTCACACGATAGCTGTGTGGCATTTTTCTTGATACCATTGACCCTTCTTTCTTAATTGTTAAATTTAGCCCTAGGTCCTGCGCTCTACTGCAGGGCATGGGGTCTCTCTCCAAGCTTGTTAAGATAAAAAGTGGATGTCCTCATCTTCATCTGGAACATTTGTCCTCTGCACCACTCTCAGTCCTAATCCTAATCCTATAGGTACTCTGTGCCAATTACGCTCTTTACTGCCGCGGAGCCAAAAGCTCTATACATTACAGAACACTGACTGGTCTACCCTGGATAAGTAACGGCCAAGCGACCAGCTGTTTCGCGCTTATGCCATAGTTCTGTTCCCCACTCCAAGTTGTTGCCAGAGGCATAACTCCGTCCAAGATGGTGATCCCTGATATTCGGATACGAATGCACTTCCTAGTATTGGCGTTGGCATCGCTTGCTTTGGCTTCTACCTCCAAAGCTTTCTACATACCTGGTACGAGATCTCAGCGAAACCCAGATTTTTGCTAGTTTAGTCGAACATTAACAACTAACACGAACCTCCTTTCCTTAGGATACTCTACCAAAAGTTACCGGGATGGCGATGACATCCCAGTATTGGTAAATAAGATATTTTCCGACAACAGCCAGCTCCAGTATGCATATTTCGAGCTTCCGTTCGTATGTCCTCCCACGGGCCAGAAACGCGGCAGCTCTCCTTTCGGTAGCGGCCACAGCATATCACTCAATCTCGGCGAGGTGCTTCGTGGGGACCGGATTATGACCTCCGATTTCGATGTTGTGATGGGGAAAGATGTCGAGTGCCAGTTCTTATGTGTTCGTAAAGTCGATCGCAAGGGTGTCAAATGGGGCAAGGAACTCATATCCGACGGATATCTTGCAGAGTGGATTATGGACAACCTCCCTGGTGCAACAAGTTTTGTCACTGTGGACCGGTCACAAAAATACTATGCCACTGGCTTCAAGCTGGGATATCTTGATTTTTCTCCAGTCGACGGCAAAGCAAGATACTTTATAAACAATCACTTCACATTTGTTATCCGCTGGCGCGAAGCACCGGGTAAAGCTGGTGCACAGGGTGGAAAGGTGATTGTGGGTTTCGAGATCCATCCCAAAAGCATCTATACAAATGATAGGGTTGACGGCGGTTGTCCTAAAAGAGTCCAAGGTGACCATGCTGGCTTGGAATTATATCTTACCCCAAATAACACAAGGCTCGCACAACAATACCCTGGCGCATCTTACCTCCCGGAAGACGACGTGGATGAAGATGATGGTGCCACCCTCTCCATCCCATACACCTATTCCGTCTACTTCCGGAAAGAAGACACAGTCGAGTGGTCGAATCGGTGGGATTTATATTTCAATAACCAAGGAGAAGGCAATATGACTCACTGGCTGGCAATCTTGAATTCCTTAATAATATCTGGAATGCTAGGTGTCACAGTGTTCGTAATATGGAGTAGAACGGTTCAAGGAGACGTAAAGGGTCGTAGAGATGTATCGATGGAGGAGGGAAAGATCAAATTGAGGCACCGCAAATCCAAAAGTGGATCCAGAACTCCAAAATCTGGAGAAAAGTCACCCAACGGGCTTCTTAGCGACGCGGAAGCAGACGAACTCGATTCCGAAGATGAGCTCGAGGATGTCGCCGGGTGGAAACTTCTACATGGAGATGTCTTTCGCACACCAGAATATAGTGGATTGCTTGCACCCCTCGTTGGATCAGGGATGCAACTACTTTTCATGGCGACCATCCTCCTGATATTGAGCTGCTTTGGAGTGCTAAACCCAAGTTTTCGCGGTGGCTTTATTAGTGTAGGCGTAGGACTTTTTGTTTTCGCAGGCTTATTCTCTGGTTACTTTTCTGGAAGACTTTACAAGACATTTGGCGGACAAAACTGGTGGAAAAACACCATGATTGTAAGTCTAACAATTTTCTTTTCTTTTCTTTTCCTTTTTCCTTTTTTCTTTTTCGTTTTTATCTTTATTTTTTTTGTGCAATGGATGTGTGGGTGTGTACCCAATGCTAAAATTCTCCTTACAGACTGCCCTTTTATTCCCAGGACTACTCTTTTGCCTAATTTTCTTTTTGAACCTTTTCGTGTGGGCTCAGGCGTCCAGCACCGCCCTGCCATTTGGCACTCTTGTTGGCTTGGCTGCTCTCTGGTTCCTTATCCAGGTCCCCCTCGTCTATATCGGTAGCTGGGTTGGATATATGCGGGTGAAACCCTGGGACCATCCAACACGAACGAACGCAATTCCAAGA